ACCACAGTCAAAGACATGTTTCATGGAGCCACTAAATTTGGTGTAATAGAAGTAGGTCAGCCATTCATTTACCATGCGAGTGTGAAATAATGGTACATAATTAGACTTTGACGAATATGTGAAATTATTTGAAGGTATGAACATTTTTATTTGATTATTTATGACCCGTGACGTAGATTTAATTAAAAAACTACAAATTTGTGATTTATCTGTGACTGTTTCATTTAACTATTTCACAAATATTTTTTAAATGAGTAGTATGTATTTTATGTTATAAAATATTTTTTTATTTAAGACGGGAATAAATGATAAAGGTGTGTTTATTAACAGATGTAACAAATAGTGCCTACACAAGAAACTTTATTGTTTGTTACAAGTGAATTTAAATCGTAAAGTTTTATTTTGGTTATAAAAATATTTATGATCTTTTTATTTCAGAATCAAACATCAAGTACCGGAACAACTTTTTAAATTGAGCCAAATTATCATCTTCAAAAAATATATAAACAAGAACAATCATCATTATATTATATTTTTGGTACATAGTTTTCTAATTTACAAATAAGTTGTAAACTGAGAAGATTAAGAAATAATAAAATAATCTAGCTATTCTTCATCTTCTTAGGATCAATGTTGAACATATCATAAAATACAGACATTTTACTATTACTTTACCAAAATATCATGAAACCCTACTCAATCCTAAGTACATTTTTCAAAAACTAATCTTGACTCTCAATAATCAGGCATCATAAATGTAACCTTTTGAATACTATTTTGGAAGACATTGTGTGGTACCTATTCCAGTTAATCAATAGTCTGTATTGTATTGTTAAAAATAATTTATTATATATTTTTACTATTGATAAGAAACATTAAATTATTGATCCATAGTCACTTTAAGGAGGAATTACATCTATATTCAATGCATTATGGACTTATGGCACGCTGACTAGACCTTTAATTTTTTTAAATAATATATTTTATTTCTCGATTTTTTAAAAGTACATAGGGGAGTGGGTGTCACATTTGACATAATTTTAGTAGGTATTATTATGCTGTATATTGTAAATAAAAAAAAACTATTTGTGACAGATATACACATAAAAAACAGAACATAAAAATATGACTACTTAATTTGGTAATTACTGAAATTAACATCAAATTCAAAATATTTAATTTTCAAAATAGAATTTAGCTTCATAAAACAGCATTAAAGTAGCTATCTAATTCTAACAATATGTAATAATAATGTTTATTTATCAAAGGTAATACATATAAACATTTAAATAATATAACTATAGGGACTGCATCTCACTGTGTTCTATATAGGTGCATCATGAAGATTAAAACCCTTTTTTGGAAATATAAAAAACTATTCATTGATATATATAGAACATCAAATTATATTTAATTCATACGAAAAATAAGATACCTACATAAATGTACAAAAGTAGATAGTATTTAAAAATAAATAAATAAGCGGTGAAAAAATAACACAAACACGCAAAGGATTTAGCTGAAAGTTTTAAGATAACTAATTATTGTTTTCTTAAAATAATTTAGCTTTTTAATGAAGTTTATATTATGAGGTAACTGATTAATTTAAAATCTGCCTTCATACTTGTTATAACATAAAAATTAATAGAATTTGCAGCTCTTTTATGGTACTAAGGTATATATGAAATGGGAGTAAGTTGACAATTCAATACATTATTTACTATTTTAAAAATAAAGGTTATTGCCTGCACATAAAGAAACTGTCCCATATTCAACCAGTTCAACGTAGTCAACATAAGCTGAATTCTATTTTGTGTCTGCTACATCCTAAAATAGCTCTCGTTGTCTTATTCTGAAAAAGCTGTAACCTCTCAAAAGTAGAGTTTGAACATCCTGTGTATATTAAAGAGCAGCAGTAATGAAAATAAGGTATAGAATAAGTGTATTATAAACTGTAATCCTAGTCGATACTGAGAGATATGATGAAATACGCAATAGGAAACCAATTTTGTTGCCATTCTTTCTACAAATATAATTTAAGTGACTGTTGAATTTCAACTTAGTATCCGATATAAACCCTTAATATTTCATTTACCCATTATATTATTTTAGATTTATAAACTTCTTATGGATCATATTGTTAGCTATCTATTTTTATTCATTATTTACAACTTCTTTAAATTCTCACCATATTAGTATGAATCATCTGCAAAAAGATGGATTTAACAATTATTTAAGATGTCCAAATAATTGATGTACATAATAAATAATATAGAAGATCTGCCTGTTCTTTTATTTAAAGTTTATTATTTGGGCATTACTTGTATCCTAAAGATATCACTTGAGCATAGTTTAAACCATAGTGAATTGTAGATTATTCAACCAAAAGTTATTGTGTGTGTAATTGGATTTTGTGACCGGATATAATCCATTAGCCTATTATCTCAAAAGTTCTTGGGAGTTTATAGAAAACTATTTGCTACCATATTTTGTTTTTTTATATTCGATTCCTTTCCTAAATTTTCACCATTTTTTTGCTTGAACTTTTAGAGGGTATAAATAAAAGTGTCGTTCTTTTTATATTTTAAATTGTTGCAGCTTGTCTGCAAGAGTATATACCTCTGGTAATATCTTTTTGAGCTTTTTTAATCTAACCTTTCTTTGTTTTTATTTTATGGTTTTATCCATATTTACATCTAAAAAAATACATAATATAATATTAGGTTGTTTAGCCTAAAATATTTTTATTACATTAAAAGTGGTGCAGATTAAACATAGGGCAAATGTGCCCCATCCCCAATCATGACAAAAATAAAATAAATGTTTGTTCATGGACATGAGACTGGTGAAAAATATTATAATATTAAGTTAAAATCATAAGCACAGCTTTATAAATAATTTAAAACCACTCACATCTATTTCACGAAGCACTCGTTATTATAACTTTACTTCAAAGAAGTTTCTTGTTTATTATTTACATTTGTTGCCTTCATTTAAAATATCAATATACCATGATTTAGGCTACCAGTTTAACGTTTTGGGTAAATATGTGTTGCCTAACCTAGTAGCGTTTGCATCAAAATGGCAGCGCCCTATCTTGGAAGTGTCGGACATCTGTCTTGCACCGTATAGTACCCAAAGATGTGCGTTCAACTCACAGACACCGTATTATCGTGTTCTATCAACTGACATTTACCGTCAACTCGTTCTCGAGCTGTTAAAATTTCCAAAACCATTTTATTGAATTAAAATAATTACTTTGAACAAGTAGTAAACAAATTCGATGAAATTGCCATAGTTAATAATTAATTACCTAGAAGTAGAGACATTAATTTCTTATAGCTAAATTTAACAAATTGAATAAAACAAATAGGATCATTGTTCAATGTCGTGAAATAGGAATAAAAGACCATCCTCATATCGATTGATAAGAATGTTATCCGGAGGTTACCAATACATACAGCTAGATTTCGTCAAGAATAATAGATTTAGAAATTTATAACAACAATAAATAACATTTTATCTTTTTTCCGTATATTTAAACAAAGTGAGTCAAATTTACTCTAGTAATTTGAGCGGCTAAAAATGCACGTTAAAATGATCCAAGTTAACATTGACTTTAAATATGAATTCATTTTTTCAAGATTAACGTAGATATAGGCAATACATTATACATTACTTAAAACAAATTTTTAGTTTTTATATTTTTTTTTTTAAATAATGCGCTTAAAGTTCGTTGTTACTTTCGACAACTTTATGCCTCAAGCGGCAAATTATTTCTTTTCGCTCTTAATATAGTCTTTCTAGACTCAATCCAAAACGGCATAATAACCGTCTGCGCCGACTTCAAAGGAACCGCGCACATTGACGTACCGTTTTTATTATTAAAATTAAATTAAATTATTAATTGGGTACAGTTCTTCCATTATCAATTGCAGAATATAAAAACTCGCTCTGAACCCTTACCGACAATTTTATTTGATCTGCTATAGGCGTAGATACATCATTTTATAAATTTATTATTTTTATAAATACTAGCTACAATTGAATATTAAATTGTAAAACATAAATGGACGAGCAGTAACATGTTTCTGCCTGTAAGGACGTTTGGTATTAACATTGTACCAGATGTGGACTGAGCCCTTTTTTTACCCCAGTCGTTCTTAATTATTAATTTAATTATCATCATTAACCTGAAATTCATTAGCATCTACATTTACCTCAAAAGATTTCCAAAAAGCTATCTCGCACAACGCAAATCAAAATTTAACAGAAATACCGAAAAATAAAAACAAGTTTAACAAACGCTTTGAGAAAATGTTTCAGACCGTGAACGCTACTGAACAAAGATAGAAAATCTAAAGTAGCCAGGCACGCCAGCAATTCTGACCGTTCACTTGTGGACTTTACATCAACTGTAGGTGCGTTGATAAAATTTTAGTGTTCCACATCGATGGCTACACCAAGACGGTTCACGCTTATTTGTGATGTAAGGGTATAGAATTCGTAGCATTCTCAACGCTTATAACGCGAATTATGACGCACCCCTGGTACGAAGGCCTGTGTTGGATTGAGTCTAGAAGCACTATAACACAAGTAGCTATTTCCACTTTCTCCATTTTCTCCATTTTCTCATACCAGGAAGTGTCGCCCCTTTATTCTCTATTGTGTTTTTATAGTATTCCAAGTCTTTTTCTTTACAACTCGGCTACAAGTAAGGAATCGGTCGTAGAACTCGAATTTGTATAATTCAAATCATCTCTGCTATTGTTTCTTTCAATTTTTCACAGTGGTAATTTTGAAAAATTTCTTGCAGCAAACTTGCGCCGTGAAGAATGACTATAATTATTTGAAGCAAACTGTGAGCAGAGTTTTACGGAAACTGATCCACACATTTTGCTGTAAGCTTGTAAGTATACTAATCCGGCCCTTCATAATACAATGTTATAAGGCTATAAAGATAATATAAACTGTAATATTTTTTTATGTTTTAATTAAATCTGGACATAAAACAACTGTAAATGTGTCACGAAATCAGTTCGAATTGATTTCTCAATTAACATCATTCTGAATTAAAACAATTTTATTGATTTAATTTTATTATGTTGTTCAAAAAGAATATGACCTATGTACACTCTCTTCTAGTTTTTAGTGTTATTTTGGTGTTAATCAAAATTTCAGAGGTAAGTAAATATTCCAGTTTCGACATTATTTAATATGTTCATCAAATTTTAATAAAAAAAAAAATGTTGTATAGGGAGATCTTCAATTTTGGCTAGTTTAAAACGAAAAGGACTTTTTTGTTGGATATAATTCAATACCTTTTGCAGTAGTTGTTTTTCAGAGAGAAACGGTCACTCATGTTATTTTCAGACACATGGCTTTATGATTTGTTGTTTGTTGTCATTTTAGTTAGTTCAGGCTAGGACAATTCCGGTAGCACAGAAATAAATCCTAACATGTTGATACTGGTTAAAAAGAACTTTTAAAGGTTATTCTACTGAAAGGGAATCATACTAAGCTAGACCTTTTCATAGTATTTTATGGACGTGTGTATTTTTTTATTTAATTATTCAGAATAACCTCACAATTTATTATAATTGTATTAGGTATGGTCCAAAATTACAAAATTAATCGACTTACCTTAAGGAAGATTAATTATAATTTTCCGAGCTTGTCCTTGATATAATAAGGGGAAATATGCCTATGATGGCATACTTAACTCATTTTGAGATATTTTCTCGGGTTTAGGAAGTATGAAGAAGAAGAATTTTAATAAAAATTTACGTAAATATTGACAGTACGTCAACAGATTTGACATAAAATTATTAATTTAAAAAAAAAAAAAAAAAAAAAAAAAAAAAAAGAAAAAATAACAAGTGTGCCATCATAGGCAAGCCTCTTTCATTATTGACACACCCTACATTTTTTGGTTACTATCGTATTTATATTAAAGTTAAAGAACATCTCACAAAAAATCAATAAATTTAAAATAGAAGAACCAAAAAATACAAATGTCACTCACAAAGTTCGCAAACGAATTTTTTTTACTCGTCTATCGACTCCTGTGCACTCACTGTGAGACCATGAGCGGCACTTTTGACAAGAAATCCACGCTTCTTTTGATTTCGATTGCGAATACAAATCATTGCAATATAAACAGCCAACATCTTCCTCATCGTCATCAAAGTTTTGAATCTCAACAGCGTCACTTCCATGGTTCATTTGTTTTTCAATCAGAATTTTCCTTTTTGTTTTTTGTTTTGATAGTTTTTCCCTTTTCTGTCTTGCTTTTTTATCTGCGTCCCTTTTCAATTTATCAATGGCGGGTGTTAAATTTGTGTCCTGAATTGAAAATTTGCATTTCGTAGGTGACGAAATATACAATGCCTCAGATTTTATTTTTTCAAAGGACATTCGTGTTGAAGATTCCACTTCTATAGACACTGATTTCAATTCAGTCGGTTCCGATGATTTGGTTCCATGTTTGTGAAAATCAACATCTACGTGATGAGGCTGCTCCTGATCATGTTGGCTTTGGTTTTCATAATTCAACGGTTTATTGGTTTTTGAAGAGGCTTAAAACATCCAGTCCTTAAAGACATTTTCATTAAATGGGTGTATTCCTGTTTTGGTAAAAGCGCTTACTGAATTTGCAGGCGTAGCAGCTTTTAAATAATCTTTCTTAAAAAGGCCTGCTTAAGCCAAGTCTGAATTTCTTGTCCGTAGTAGGTTTGGAGTGGTGCGAAAAATCCAACATCTAATAGTTGTACTCGATAAGTACAATGCGCGGGGAAGCAAAACAGTATTACACCGTTGTCCTTCGCATATTGTAGTACTTCTAAGCTTTTGTTTTAATTTTTAAATCACTATCCATTTTAAAATATAATATAGTCCATTGCTGACAAGCACGAAAAAAGGAATGATATACAAAGGTTTGGTATACGATTAGTAGCAGTGTATCATTTTGTTTACTCTAGAAAAACTACGTGCTGATGGGTATGTTTTAAGGAAACTACAATGTAATAATTAATTAAAAAACAAGCGAAGGAAAATTATTAATCTTAATTCTAAATCCTAATCTAAGCCTAAAAAGATAAAACATTATTTGAACAAAAAAATGAATTAGTTAATTAAAATCAGTATTGAAAATAATTTAAAAAGACAGATATTATGATTATAATTACAACCTAGTTCTGCAGTATTTTCTTTATTTAGATCAACTAAGAGATACGTTGTTTCATTCGCGTGTGTTCATCTTCAGATTTCATATTTATTCACTAATCAGTGCATTTATAAAGTTATGAGATGTATATAGAATTTAACTAATATAAATTAATAATAGCTATTTATGCAACCAGTTACGAAATGCCTTATTTTAAAACGGCATGTCGTTACGTGTTACACGCAATATATTTTAACTAGAATATTTATAAAATTGTGTTTGATAAAAAATTACTAACATCTATGCGACTAACTTTCTTGTTTTAGTTGTGGTATACACAACTTCATTCATTTCAGTAACAAATAGAAAATCATATAAATTTATTCTCAAAGACTTGTAGTGTTTATATTTTGCTTGTTAAAGTTAGTTAGTATTCATGAATGTGGGTTATTTTGTCGGGTATTGTGTATTGATTATTTTGGACAGATTTAGAATGGAAAATAAGAACCAAAACAACATTATTACTAGGTTGTAAATTTACTAACCAAATTCTATTCATATATAGCCAACCTTCCATCCTTTGATATAAATGTTCAATAATAATGTATACAGGGGTTTCATAATATATGCGCAGAACTTCAGGACGTGATAGCTCGTTCAAAAATATGAAAAAATGTTTCTATTAACTTACCCTCTAAAATGCACCATTTTCGAGATACAGGGTGTTGAAATTGAAAAAAAAATTCTACGCCACTGGAAAAAGTACGGTTTTTAGACGCCCATTTGAACCGCCAATATTTTCTACACAAAAAAGATATTTTTGGTCATACGCTCTAAAGTCGACCGTTTTCGAGAAAAATCAAATTTTAATGTTGAAATACATGGTCAATTTTTGGAAATAAAACTTTATGAAACAAAATTTGATTTTTCTCGAAAACGGTCGACTTTAGAGCGTATGACCAAGATTACCTTTTTTGTGTAGAAAACATTGGCGGTTCAAATGGGTGTCTCAAAACTGTACTTTTTCCAGTGGCGTAGAAATTTTTTTTTCAATTTCAACACCCTGTATCTCGAAAATGGTGCATTTTAGAGGGTAAGTTAATTAAAACGTTTTTTCATATTTTTGGACGAGCTATCACGTCCTGAAGTCCTGCGCTTATAATATGAAACACCCTGTATATTGATTTTAAAAACAAAAAAAAGTTTATTTTATGTTTTCTTTTCGAAACTGGTAACCTATTGATTTTTTCGTAACCAGTTTCAAAATGTTAAACTTTATGCAATTTGTTACTGCGGTCACAAAAAAATGTCACTTATATGTCAAAATTAGACAAAAGTTTTTTATTCCATTTTGGTTGTATAATCTTTTTAGTTACAGTACAAACACTTAACATTCAAACTGCATAACTAATTTTATTTCCGTACAAGTGATTTTGCGGTTTTTCAAGATCAAGATCGTTTTTCTTACGTAATGACATAATTGACGTTGAATAATAATTAATACATTCTATTTTTGATTTGTCTATAGATTACTTGTTAAATAAACATAATATATGCAAAACAACTGAGTTGTAATTACATTACCTATAAACAAGCGCATGAACCTAGCTAGATTATATTCAGTTTCCAGTGGTGGCGCATTCAAATGCTAAATTCTAATAATAATTATTGTTATTAGATATTATTATAATAATAGATGGATACGGTTTACTGAACATCGTTAATTTGTGCTAAACAAAAAAATCTGTTTTTTTAGAATATCCTCATCTAAAATTCCAGATTCTATATTTTGATTCAAAAACTTAAGAACCGTAACAGACGCACTATTGGGACAGTAAAATTGGAAGTCAACCTCAAACTAATTTAGGACAAGCTATTTTCGACATTATACTTCTAAATAGAGGGTATTTATATATGTATACAGGGTGTTATTGAAATACACGTACATATTAAAACTGGGTATTGCGCAGATCCCCACTGAATGTAGAAAAATATTATTTTTTAAAAATACCCCTTATTAAGGGAGTTATTAATTTTTGAAAATTAATTCTAAAACAAACGTACTTCACTGATATGTTGAGGATGACCTATATAAATTAGGTTTATTTACCTATTTTAAACATCAACAGTAATTAATATGCAAGTTTTTGTCAGATGATAAGAAAACTAGTCTTGTAAGAAATAACCATGTTGCCAAGATTTTCGAATTAACTTCTATTTCCGAAGACTGGTTTTTACTACCCTCGTTATCAAAAAACTAGAATATTTGATAAATGATTGTTTTTAAACTATACATTTTTGAAACTATAGATTATTAAAATTTTAGTTGATTTACGAATTTGGCTAACACGAGCGCGTCATTTCCAAGTTGGTAAAAAGTGTTGTTACGATTACTTTTAAATATTTTTTTACGATGCCGCTATTTACGAATATTGAACTAATGGATATAGTGCTGGTTTATGGGGCAGCTGGAGAAAATTCTCGGCAAGCACAAATCCTGTATCGCGAACGGTTTCCAAATCGGAGAATTCCGGACTGTCGTATGTTTATTTCAACTGTTCAGCATCTAAGAGACTATGGAAAATTTGAGAGTGTCAATGCAGATCGAGGGAGAACAAGAACACAAAGAACATTGGCGACCGAAGAAGAAATATTGGAAGCTGTTGAAAACCGGCCTCGATTAAGTTGTAGAAGACTAGGTCTTGAAATTGGAGTGTCCTCATTTGTTGTGTGGCGGACACTTAAAGAACAAGGTTTACATCCTTATCACATCCAAAAAGTCCAGGCCTTATATCCAGGTGATGAAGAAAAGAGAGTGGAGTTTTGTGAATGGATGATTCAAAAATGTGTTGATATTCCTGATTTTCTAAAAATATTATTGTATACTGACGAGGCTTCATTCACTCGTGATGGCGTGTTCAATATGCACAATACGCATATTTGGAGTGATGAAAATCCTCACGCCATTAGGGAAACTGGGCATCAAAGAAAATTTTCAATAAATGTTTGGGCTGGCATAATAGATCAATATTTAATCGGGCCTTATGTTCTCCCGAACAGATTAAATGGGCCAGGATATCTCCACTTTTTAGAAGATATTTTGCCAGTACTCCTAGAAGAGATACCGTTACAATTAAGGCAACGGATGTGGTACCTACTAGATGGCGCTTCTCCTCACTTTGATTTAAACGTACGGCAGTTTTTGAACATTAGGTTTCCTCAAAAGTGGATAGGCAGAAATGGACCTACTAAGTGGCCTCCGAGATCTCCGGACTTAAATCCATGCGATTTCTTTTTGTGGGGTCACATGAAACAACTGGTTTATAATGAACCTATTAATAGTGTTGAACAATTAACCAATAAAGTTAATGCGGTAGCCGAGGAACTACGACAAAATCCAAGACTAATTTCTAATGTTCAAAGTTCTTTGGAAAGACGATTGCAAGTGTGTGTAAATAATAATGGACGGCATTTTGAACAATTACTGTAATAAACTTTATTTTGAATTAATTGGTTTTGCTACGGCAACAGTGCAATTTCTATGGGTAAGTTCAATTTCGATTTATTTTACTTCTTTAAATATGGAAACTAGTAGGTCGGAAAAGGGGACTCTTCCCCAATATTTAAATTTTAGAATTTGAAGTTAAAATTGGTGCCAATCGTTTTTGGTCATTACATACTATTCCCCATTTTAATATGTACGTGTATTTCAATAACACCCTGTATAAAAATCCCCATACCTGTGAGTAGGGGAACTACCTCAAAAGTTTACAGTTTTGCTTTGGAATTTTTTTAATCAAGGTTTTTCGAAAAAATGTCAGGGAAATTTTTGTTTTTTAAATTAAATTCCCTATAAAAAGATATTAAAACGAAGTATAAACTATAGAAACAAAATTATAAAGTATATTAGAATTTTCTTAAATTTTACATACAAATTTAGAGATCTTGGCAAAAAATTAAATTCAGATAATTTTTTAGATACAGCTTTTATTATTAATAATAGAAAGTAAAAAAAAAACAATTTAAACCCAATTTAAAATTGAAAAGAAACAAATTAAAAAAAATATATAATAGAAACAAAAATGACTTGCAATTAGATGTGTTTTTAAAAAGTATAGAATTACAAATTTTGACAAAGTCTCTGGCAATACCCCTCCGTCCATAATACTTTCAGTAGAAGGATATATTTCAACGTCATACATTAACCCTCTTTTCGTACAATAGCAGCTGCATCCTCCACAATTCAGATCCAGACGTTCAGCCGCCATAGCACTTTTTCTTTTTTCATACCACTTATTTGAGAGCAACTGATGATTAATCGAAAATAATCGATTAATCGAAAATAATCTGTTAATCGATTATCGATTTAAAAAATATATAATGATCGACTATTCGATTAATCGATTATTATTCGATTAATCGATTATTAATCGATTAATCGAATATTTTGCCCACCTCTAATCGACAGGGCGACCAGAAGTTTTGTCTGACTTTTCTCTAAACATTTTTTTATAAAAGTTCTTTTGATATTTGGCTTCTGCAGCTACCAGGTCATTTGTGGTGCTTATTCGTCTAAATACTTCATGTGACCACTCATCTTTTCAAGCTAAACATCATGACTCAATATTTTGTTATGTTTGTACCCTTTTCACTTGTCGTAACTTTTTTGAGTTACTATCTTTTTTGTATTATATTTGGTATCACAAAATGGTTTAAAAACTAATTTAGACTTTGTTTTTCTCTTTTTTATTACGTTTTGTGGCTCTCACGGTACTTTTACGAGTATAATTCGTTCTACATTTATTTTAACATGTAAAGCAAGTTTATTTTTGTCTCAAGTCCGTCGCTGTATCTTTTACTGCACTCAACGATACTTGTAATACCTTTTGTTCTTTGTCGACTGCATATCAAACGTCTGTCTGACATAACTGCTGCAAAAAATATTCAGACGTTAAAATATAAAATACTTGTTTACCTGATTAATATGAAGCTAAACTTCATGCTCATCTGTACAGACAAGCACTACTAACCCTGAACAGACCACGAATTTACTTACCAAGGGTTAGTAATAGGATGTCATGAAGCTTTGGCCGAAGTATCCATCAACAACGTGGTCATCTTAAGATGAATCAAAGGTCACGCTACATCCATCAGATGAGATATAAAACATCTCAGTGAAATTTTTGCATACTTATTATTTTTGGATAAAAGTCTTTCTTCACGTACCAACTTAACTGACAATAATAATAATCTTAACTTAACTGAAATTTAACCTCAAATAAAAAAATTTCTTTAATCACAAAAACTTATGAAAGCTTGCTTTTCTGAAAAACTGTTTATCAAATTTCAAAATTAGTCTTCAACGTATTTGGTAACATTTCAATTTGTCATAACATTTAACATTCAACCTAACCACCATAATGCACGATAATTATGTCTTTCCGAATCAGAGGTTGCAGATGAGGAGTCTCATTAGCCCCCCACTGCCCCCTCTACAAGTCTCAATACGTGGTAGGCCCCATTAACCGACCATTCATTGAACTTACCAATAAGGGATTCAGGAAACAGACATGGTTGTCGTCATTAATAAAATTTTAACTATGTTTCATATAATTTTATTCTTAAATCAATAATTAAAAAAATTTCAGCAACCCTTCTTTCAGTTCTATTGTATATGACACGTGCGCCTCCCATTAAGAAAGGGTAGTTTGGGAATAAAGTCTCATTAGCTTTATGCAACCCCCTTTGTTTTGAAATAATTGGCTGTAGGACCTCATTAGTCTTACACAGTTAAAGTAAATTCTTCTTTTTTGGCAAACTGACTTAATGACAGACGCATGCGCCATGAACTTGAAAAATAGCACATGGTCAATTGTAAGCTCAAAATTTTATTAATTTTATGTATCTGATCTTTAAATGACTTTTATTCAAAAAAAATTGTTATGTCAGATATTTCAAATATTATGTTTCCGAGTAGGAAATTGCAAGATGTATCAAAATCAAGAAAAAAAAATTGGAGTTACTATTTAAAAAAATTGTCAATGACGTCACTGCCCAAAAATGGGAAGTGGGGGAAAATTAAATTCTATTTAAAAAATTGCGCTTTTAGTAAACAAAATTGACCTGTCCGAGCATTTTTTCAAAAAACCACCTACTTCCATTATAATGAATTTATTCCTTTCATTTGAACCATACTGTATATACTTTTATTTGAATATTTCCAAAGGATTCTGTTGTTTTTATCGCTAACATTTATTATAGTAAATATTTAAAACTAGGTCTCAATATTTTATAGCATTGGAACATGGCATTTATATTGAATAAATTGTAGAGTTAGTTTGCCATCACCTAGTGTATTAATATATTATTTTTCTACTGTAACTACAGTGTTGCGTCACCGTACAATTGGCTTATCGAGTGCGGAATAGCACACACCCCATCAGCTAAAGAATGAACTATGAGGTATTTATGTAATACATTTGTATCAGCCTTCAGCGTATATTCAAGGGTAATATACCAAGACTAATTTTGTTGCGTCTAAATTTCGAGAATATTTTAATATCAATTTGATGAAACATAATTTTGGCATTAATAATCTGATTAAAGCCCGAGAGCTTTAGCTCGAGGGCTTTAGTCAATTGATGGCAGTTTCATGTCTGTTTTTGAACTGTTAATAAAACTGCTTAAATTGGTTGTAACAGTGGGAACTAATTGTGCAATATTTAGTTTTAATACCTTCAAATACGATACTTGAACATTTAAAATACCTGCATTCAATACCATCAGGTTTGTTTAAATCTTTTTCGTTATTATCTAAAAATTATAATTGCGATTTTACACATTCATACTTTTGGTATACATTTTATATTCCATGTACTCTCCTGTCTAATTCTGTGAAATATTTATAATTCTTTATATAATCTGCCAAGAAACCTTGAAACCGTGTTAATGTTCCCTTAAAAATACCCCTTTCGTTTTGGCATTCAGCGATTTTCTTTTCTCTTTTTTTGACATTTTTCCTTGTAATGTAGCAATATGTAAGCAGATTTAAAATGGCACACACCATTGGTGAAGATCTTATTCTACCATTAGCGATGAAGATTGTAGAAACTATGTTTGGAGGTAATTTTACCAAACAATTGCAATCTGTACAAATGATACTGTTGCCCGCCGAATTGGTGATATAGCCGAAGATGTACAGCATCAGCTTCTTGAAAAGTTTCTATTCAGCTTGACGAAGCAACAGATAGCAATAAAGACGCTAATTTGATTGTCTATGTCCGATTTTGTGATGGTATATCGGCAGTAGAAGAACTACTTTTCTGCAAACCTATAGAACTTAAAGCAACACCACTCTTTGATATTTTAAGTTATTTTATTAATGAGACAAACATAGAGTGGAAGAATTGCGTTAGAATATGCACCGATGGTACTCATACAATGTCTGGAAGATTCCAAAGTGTATAGATACTTGTGAAACAAAAATCTCCGAAATGTGTTTGGACCCATCGCATGATCCACAGAGAGGCTCTGGCTTCCAAAGACATGAGTCCTTGTCTTAACATTATGGATTGGAACCGTTGGGTTCTTAGAAGACTTTTAAAAACAATGGACCGACAATATAACAAACAATACCAATTCCTATAACTTTAAGAGAAAGTAAATAAATATATTCATATTTATTTATATATTTCATAATACAGTCTAGATATGAATTAAACAAATATTCATAATAAAACTGAAGCCGTTTTTTAAATCCTATTTTCATGAAATCATTATTTATGTTGAGAAGGTAAGAAATCATTTACACATTTAGCACTTTCGAAAGCACTCTCTTCAGGTGTACTCAATTGCTTGAAACATTTTTTTAACATAACTTCAGTCTTTTTATCATCTTTAATCATTTTTTGAAATGTTGGTCTCAATAAATCTATTTGGAATTCGCCTTTATCATTTTGTGTACCAATTACTTTATTAACACATAGTAAATGAGTTTTTATTTTAGGATCATTATCAAATTTTCCCTTATTCATATTCATTACATCCGTAACATCCACTTTGGATTGTTTTATGCATTTTTGCGTTGCATCCATCAATTTCTTCATCACATCTTTGGGAAAGTTAATGGACTGAAACAAAATAGGTTTTTACATTATGTGAAAGTTAACTTTTAGATGCGATGTGTTTTTAAATTGCCAAAGCGAAGCATGGCCAAGGGAGTTCAAAAACTTAAATTGGAAAATAGACAAAAATTTTAAAAAAGGGAGTCGTACAAGGGAAGAAAAGTGTAATCTTTGGCTTCATTCTGATACTGAACAGAATGGGGGTCACCACATGGAAATACACTGCTCAGCTACAGGAATCAAAAGGCTGTTTTAAAGTTTCGGAGAGAGCACCCTACTGAAGAAAAGTTTGTAGTAGTTTCAATTACGTGGTTGATATTGTAAATCCAGAAAGTTTATGAAATTGTTTTTGTGCCTGTGTACTTTTCCCATGAAACTCGTCTGCAATAGATTACTCTTAATGCACTGGTAAGTAAAAAGAAATGGCTCAAGACAAAGAAGTAAGTGAAATTACGTTCGAAAGGTTTAAAAAAGTTGTCGCAGTGGAAAAAATGGAAAGGCTTAAAAACTTTGATGAAAATGATGCGCATGATGACGATTTATTAACACTTTTTTATGTGTAAAAGAAATTTTGAAGGCAGATCCACCTATGGACGTGGATAAACTTATATAAATATTGATCAATCTGTAACTATTGATTAACCTGAAGAGACAGATTAACCCGAAGAAATGGATTATTTCGAAGGTAGCATTTCATATAAAATGTCTGAATCAGAGTTATATCTTGAAAATGATAACTTAAACGCTAAAACTAATGAGAGTCTCATTAGGCAGACTTCGGAAATTATTGTAAATGAACAAATATTTGACATTAAAAACATTTCTAATTTAATAGAGGAAAGCATAATAAATAAATCATCTTCATCTTCATCACTTAGTAATTTTGTCATTTGGCTCAAAACTCCTGAAAGAATGGAAAAAAGAGAGACGGAGAAACTGCCCTTTGTGTTGACTTCATCAGTTAGGAAAAAGCAATAAAGAAGAAAATAGCTATAAAAAATTAAATGGAGGCGAAAAAAGAGAAACGTAAGACTGAAAGGTTGAATAAAAAACAAACAAACAAAAAGAAACTATTAATCAAAAGAAGACCTAAACAATGCCAAAGAATCACCAAATATTAATACTGTTAGGCTAGGTTTTAAAATTTAAATTTAGAAGCCATCACAATATAGAAAACAATTATATCTACAATGGCACTATTGCTCACAGAATCTGGAGTATATTCCACATCCTGAGCCTTGTATTGTTTTAGAACCGTCAGTGTAAATATGAATCGTACCTGCCACTTCCGGCTCTTCTATTTGATCTGTTATTACTTAATATATCTTATAGAAAATATATCTCTGTGAAATGGAGTCCATGTTCGCTTGAAGCAGCGGGAGCATAACGAGCGCCTCCTGCCAAAAGCGACGTCTCGCCTAACCAGATTCTACATCAGGTTCTATTCCAACCGTACGGAGGCGTCATTGTCATCAGAACAACCTCCTTGATGTAAATATCAAGGGGAGTGAGACTAATAATGACTTCCATGGCTCTAATCGGTGTTGTTTTCATGGCTCCTGTTACGTTGTTCTTAGAATTTGTCCTGGTTTACGGATAGCTGTCAATTTTTGATTTTTCTTTACCCAGACAACTGCACTGTATGTTAGTATAGGTCTTATAATAGCCGTGTAAGTCAATGCGATGACTATGGGGAAGAAACCCCAGGTGTGCCCCACGGTTCGGCATTGTTGTTCATAAGCAATGTATGCTCTTTTAACTGTGTTTTCTAAATGCGAGTTTCATGTTAACTTACTGTCAAAGGTAAAACCTAGGTACTTCACCTCTGTTGCAAAGTGTAGTTTTGTGTTTAGGAGTTCTGGAGGTTTCAATTTAATTTTCATCCTTTCCCTTGCGAAAAGGACCATTTCTGTTTTCTTGGGATTGATAGGCAGTGAATGGTCCTTGCACTACTGTTTTATAATTTTAAGAGCTACTTGCATTCTTTCGCAAAATATGTTCTCAAAATTACCTGTTGGCAAAATGACCAGGTCATCTGCATATACTATTGTGTAGTGACTGTCATTATTGAGGCGGCTGCTGAGGGTGTGGAGGACCATGTTCCACAGTAGAGATGCTAGCACCCCTCCCTGTGAACACCCCTCGTAACCAAGTCTCTTATATTCACATCTTCTACACTTATGTTTACTGCTCGCTTTGAAAGCATGTTATGTATCCACCCACTAACCATCTATGAACTATTCCAGTTGGTTAGTGGGGGATATAAGTTTATCAAAACCACCTTCTATGTCTATAAAAATACCCAAGACGGACTCCTCATTGTCCAGGGATCTCTCTATCCGGCCAGCAACTAGATGATAGGCTGAATCAGTACATCTGCCTGGGGTGTATGCATGTTGGTTTGGTTATAGTGGTGTTGTTGTAATCACCGCATCCATTTTGCTTCAAATTTGAAATCTACTGCAACCAACACATGTCATATTTTAGTTTTATCGACATTTGTGAGCTTGTGTCATTGAATTTTGGAGTTCCTAATCAATATTGCTTATTTTTTCATTTGATCTCTACGTTCCGAGCCTCTCTTTGATTGCTGACCTAGTCGTTCACTTATCTTTCCCATTTGATCTCTATGTTCAGAGCCTATCTTTGACTGCTGACCTAGTGAGCATTCACTTCTAAATAACCGCATCATGAGGTTACAGAGCAAATAAACTGATACTTATGATGGTAATTTACTAAATAATAGAGGTAGGGGAAGACCAACGGTAAGGTAGAAGCTCTAAATGAAGGAACTAAAGTATTTAAGAACAAAAACAGGACAACAACGGCTAGAACAGAATCTTACATTTTACCAACCTCAGAAAAGCAGATCTTAAAAGTAATATCGTGAAAAAGATAGGACGAGTGAAATGAGAATGCTTTTTGGCAAGAGCAGAAAAAAAACAATTGAATGAATTCTTTGCAGTACTTGAACATAAACGTTGATAGTTTGGCCAGAGTTTAACAATACCAATGAACTATTTATTTAATGGAATATTTTAAATTGTTATCTATACAAGGTGTTCCTAAACATCGTGTCATAATTGAAGGAGGTAATTCCTCTTGGCTCATATTTTGAAGTTCATATAAACATGTGTCCTAAATTGCTTTGTTTCGAATTTTCAAAAATAATTAGTTTTTCATCAATATCACAAATACTCTTTTGCCGATTTTGATGAAATTTGGTAGAAATTATTCAATCTGATTCCATGAAAAATGCTATAATTTGTTTGCATAGCCCACTTGACATTTTGTTCATTTTAAGATTTTGTGCAGGCCCTGGACTTCCATTCTCGAATATGTGATTAGGAATATGAAGCGAACGTTTAACAAAAATTACTTTTTTTTGAGATTATCAGCGTAGGTTATGTTAGCAAATTTTCAGAAAATTTTAAGTCATTAAATATTTTTTTGGATCGAAGAGCCATTATTGGCGTGCAATCAGTTTTTATTTTTATCTCGATAAAAACACGAAAAATAGAAAAAGTTTAATAGACAAAAAATATGTGTTTTTGATTGACTAATTTACAAAAGAAAAAAAAAGTCGGTGACCTACTTTTTTTTCAAAAATATCAATTAAGTTGCAACTGGAATTAATAATTCAGATATAACTAGGTCAAAATTAGTCTTTTACTACAACAAATGAATCTGCCAAGTTTTATCAAAATCAGTCGAAGAGTTTTTATGGTATGAATGAAGAATTGATTATTTTAAATGTATCTTTGAAACAAAGCAATTTAGGACACATGTATATATAAACTTTTAGCCATAAATTGTGCCAAGGAGGTACCTCCTTCAATTATGACATGATGTTTAGGAACACCCTATATATTGTAATATTCTTATATAAAAATACATTACCTCCACAACGACAGCTGCACTTATTATCATAGCAATTAGAGTGTACTTCATATTGAAACTTTTTTAAATATTTTCATCTAAACACTAGTTTCCATCATGTGCAAGCCTATTTATAACTAATAATTGATTTAATCTTAGCATACGAATATAATCTATAAATAATGGTCATTTTATATGGATTCTAAAATTGTAATAATAGAGATTTAATGCAGGATACGAGGATTTATTTTAGGTTATTGTAGCGTGAAAATCATTTAAAAATCGTTAAAAATTTATTTTCTGCTCATGTGAATTAAAACATTTTTTTATCTAAATACCGTTTGTAGTTAATAATCGAAGAGGTTGCTATATTTCTTGGTTTTCGTATCCTTTCAGATTATTTCTATTCTTTTTTTTTTCTTCTTCTTCTTCTTTGAGAAAAATTCTGAACCGTGTGGGAGTCCACTAAATAACTCCGTGTATTGCCTAGGGAAGCCTGAACTGTCCCTAGGGATATTGCATCTACCATCTCTAGCGGTATTTCTTTACAGTTCCTGACGTCTATTTCTTTCTTTGTACTCCCTTTCTTCTAGTTCTCTGTTTTTCTCCTGCATTTACGGTTTTTGGGGGTTAAAGGAAGGCCCAAGATATTTTGTAGTTCGGATCTTAGTGACTACCATCTAGGATATTTAAATATTATGTGTTAAGGAGTGTCTTTTTCGTGGCAGTACAAACGGGTGCTATCTTCTGTTTCACCAAAGTATATTAACCGTTCAGTAGCGACAGCTGGGGAACCGAATTCTAGAGTGTCGACGCGAAATAGAGAGGCGAGACGTCTTCTAAAGACGTAAACAACCCCTTTCACTTTAGTCCGGCGCTGATATAGGAATTCGTTGTTGTGGATTTATTAGTGCTCTTTTATTTAACACTGACTTCCATATTGTTGTATGAATAACTTGTCAGATACCTCTGTCAAACACTTTAAACGTGAATTAAAAGTTTTGAGTAACGGGGCGCATTATTAGTCAAAAATTGTATTCAGCGAGATGTTTAAACAACGCGAAATTTAAAGTTTGAGACAACTCGATTATTAAATAAGAAGGTCCATAAGTAATAATTGTCAAAAAACAAAACCCTGTGCACCTACCAATTTTCAAGTCTCTAGCTCATCTGGACGTAGGTAAAAAAATTTAAATTTATCAATAGTGATATATATTTGTATATTTACTACATAAGTTAAATACTCATAAATATAAAACTGCCTAATGACCAAACCTTTATTATAAATGTAAACTACAAAAGATTTTTACTTCAAATTACGTCGAGCAGTGTAAACATCACGTTCAAGACCAGTTCATAATTCGAGTAGTGTTTTACTGTGTCGTTCCGTCAATAATGTCAAAAGAGAGAGAAAGAAAATTTGCACCACCCAAGATCAAAGGCACCGACGCTTTATGTCGCTACTGGTTTTACAATGGGTTTCACAGAGTTAGAGAGAGAGAGAGAGAGATGCTTTATTGTCGTAAAAAAATTTACAAAAATTTTATAGACAAAGCGTGTAACTTAAATACTAAACATATTATAAAAATAACTAAACAGCAGAAAAAACAAACAGAAACAAACAGAAACAAACAGACAAAATAGGAATAACAATTGCAATGGATATGCAATATCCGTCATTATAATTATTCTAATTTAATTTTTAAATTTAAATTTAAATTTAAACTTTAATATTTAATTATTTAATTAATGCCATTGTATGTGGAACTCAAATGTCTAAGGTACGTTACGTTAGTTCAAGGATAGAATCCTGCGAAGCACCCTGTGATATATTCAGTGATTCTCGGGTATTATTCCTAATATACAACCATTTGTCACTTGATTTTCAATAATTAGGCATTCAAAAGACCTGTCAAAATGCTGCCAGTGCACATACTTCAATTTTTTGTGTGCCAGTGGGAACTGACAGTTTAGATATGGCAACCCTGTGGGCCTGTTGTCATTTACAGGGTCAACGATACGTATATAGTTATATAGATTGCTCAAAGCAAGTCGTTTGCGAGCGGCCACATTGGCTGGTAAGTGTTCATTAATTTAAATCGGTTTAGCAAAAATGTGTTTTAAAACCATTTTCCAGCCTTTGAATATTTAAAAAAAATAATTGCCTACATTTTTACTTCAAGGCATAAACTATTTCATATTTTAGTGATTGCTAATACATCAATGCAATTTAACGATGACTCTTGACAAGTTTATTGAAGATCCTAGAGAAAATTATGTTTGTTTAGTTCTCTAACAATGGATATGAAAAAGAAAAGTAATAGATTTCTTCACAAAGAACTTGCTTTTATCGCAGTAATTATTTTTTAGTTGCAGTTTCCTCTGTAATATTATTTTCAGAATTCATGCTGTTTAACGTATAGTTTTAATTATTTTTTATAAATAATTATTTTATAATAGAGACGGTCTATTTATTATTTGCTTTCAGTAAAATTATTTTTATGTCCTACAGAGCCAGCTTTTAACTATAGCTACAACTAACGTCATAGGAACGTCAGTGGGCTGTAACAAAATGACGTGAGCTGTACTTTACATCTTTGGTGAAAATTGTGTAATAGATAACCAATAAATGACGTCGCTGTAACGTCGCTACCTCAGTTTCTAACTCATCATGTTAATTAATACTATTGATAAATTCAAGAATATGTCTGATTGACACTTTCTCTATTATTTCGGGTTCCAGATATTTAGGTGACTTCTAAGGCCTCATTGTCTTAATTTCGTTTCTGCTAAGGTTTAGCAGTTGATGTTATCTGCTCCTGAATGGACCCTTTATGAATATTCTAAGCTTCCTGGCTACAGGAAGCTTCAACAAGAGCTTATAATTTTCTTTTTATACCCGTTCATAGGCACATGTTAATATGAATTACCACATAAGGGTTCTGGATCAATTAGCGTTATTCAGCATCCTTCCTGGTTATCTTATCTATCTCTAAAAGGGTCATTTAGCATAATCTGGGCACAGGTATTTATTGCTATTACTTCAGCTTGAAAAACTGTTACCACTGATCCCAGGTTTAGACTAATGGTAAATCCCAGCTTCTGTACTGTTTTATCCTTAGTCTTAGTATTTTATGTTGGTTTTGAATAGACGCTCTTATTTTTTATCTTGTTGCAAGATTTGTAGGATTAGCAAGACTTTTTTTGAGCATTACTCAGATATTTTCACTCATAGTTGATATTGTCTCAGAGTTAAGAAATTTAATTTGTAAATAAGATGTATTAATTTACATAAATAATGGACAATCTAAAATCATAAAATTTAAATTATCATCTTTGGGATTAGTATTATTTATCATAAATGGCTCAACCCATAATATTATCATTATTATCGCATATACGTACAAAACATATTTAACAATAAAGTTGTAGAGTTATAAATTATACCTATATATTTTTTAATATATCATGAAAAATACAATGAAGTGCGGCAGCTAAAGAATTAATCTCTTTTCTAAATAAACACTCTGTATGAGAACATGCGTAGTCTAAAGTAAGTAGTTTCCAACTTACCTATTTACTTTAGGCGCATGTAGTATAGTTAGAAACTTATATTCCAACCAAAAGGATCTTTAATTGGCCCAACTTTCATTGTGAAAAAAGACTCAAACAATTTTCAATTTTCCCTAATATTTTTATGCTTTTACTATTTATTTCTTTTATTTCAGGCTGGCTACTCTAGTTATTTGTCATCGGTTGTAAGAAAATGTAAAAGAGAATCCGGAGTAGGCGATGAGCTTATACATTTGAGCATGATGGGCAAATTTAAGCCAGACATTGATTTTAAAGAATATCTATACTGTTTTTCCAAAAAAGTGGGACTTATGAACTATGACAACTCAATGAAAAATGACAAGTAAGCAAAAAATTTGTAAATATCTCGAATTATGATTGTAAATAGTAGTTTTTTTAAGTGGTTGCTCCCGTAGTGATTATCATCAAAATAAACTAGAACACTTATATCTGTTATTTTTATTTGTACACAGTCAACCGAACAAGTGATATATTCGTACTAATTTGACTGTATTATTAATGAAAAAGTCATTAAATAATAAATTCAGTTACAATAATTCGTGGGTGCGCGTGCAAAAGAGAAGTCAAAATTTGTGTATCCGAGATAATGCGCAAAACATGGTCAACAAAAAATGGAAGATATCCACTAAAATTAAAAATATTGTAACTCCGACTTTCAAAATTTCATTACTGACAACTCCCTTTTCACTAGAACAATATAACAAAAAATTAATAATTTTACAATATTTCCAATATTTTATTCATCAATAAACTTTAGATATAGAATAATTACAAATCTTGTTCATTATCGTTATCATCTTCATCAGAATAGGCGTCTGCAGCATTTCGTTCAGTTATAGGATTGTGATAGAAATCCCACCAAATACGGGACATGTAAGGTAGGAGTTCTATGAGGTTTTTTTCTTTTCAACTCTTATTGGTACCGGTCCATCACAGCAGTTTTTAGGTCTTAATAATATATAACTTTTCATTTTCCTTTGAAACTGTTTAAAATGATTTCACAGTCACAAGTGAAGTTTTATATTGCAATATTCCCAATTATTCTTTATCATATCGTAACGAGCATAAGTCTCTCCAAGTTTCTCCACATGCACTTATTTTTCGATTTACTAATTGACGTTTTAGAAGATCTGCAAAGTCCATAAATTCTTCCGATATCATTTCAGTGACTTTGAATGGTTTCTTCTCTCCCGACTGACGTACTAGCTGAACCCAGTCTGAGAATGTTCTATTGGAAAATTATTTTTTCATTTTTTTGAATATGCTATAGTCTGTATCACATTCCATGTGTGTATGATCTGCCAAACGAAACTTATGGTCAATAGTTTTTAGAGTGAAGAGCTACCAGATAGATTGCTGCAATGTAACTATTCTTATTTTGCCCCCCACAAGTATCTGAGTACATTGTTACATGTTGAACGTTTTTGTCTTAGTCATTAACCAGATATTTATAGAGGCATGAACCAATGTTGTTTCCACCTCTCTTAGCAACTCATTCATGTTGTATACAAGGATTTCATTTCAAAACTAGCCACCCAAAATAACTTTTAAAATATCTTTAAAACAAAAAAACAAAAAGACACGTTAATTTATATTTACGGGGGGACACATTTTACAAGTATCTGTAACCGTGCAGTTTCATCCCCTAAGCGGTGGTGAATATCACTTCTAAAATTTTAAATAGAAAGGGGTATCATGTGATAGCTCTTCTTAAAGGTCTCTTTTTTCCAATCTTTTGACACATTATTTTTTTAAATCGGATTAATTTTTCACCAAGTTATAACCTAGAAACTGGAAAAAAGTTAAAATATTGAATTACAATGCATGAGTATAAATACCGAGATACACAAGTTAGCAAAAAGCCTTAAATGTTTTTTGCGTAAGATATTTTTGACCGTAAATTAAAACAATTTATTATTAGTAGATTATTGGTTTCGTTGTGTACTGACAATTTAATTTTGACAATGGTTTATTCTTTACAAGAAAGAATTGAAATAATCTTTATTTATGGTGAAGAACAACGCTGTGCACGGAGAACTGCTAGTGTTTTTAATCAGAGACATCCCGATAAAAATGTTGGGCATCAGTATGTGTTGGATTTAGTTCATAAATTTCAAGGAACTGGAAGTGTGTGCAATAAAACTGTAAGGAATCGTAGAGTTTTAACTGAAGCTGCACAAGTTGAGATTTTAGGTCATTTTGCCATGGAACCTCAAACATCAATACCAAAAGTCTCCATATTAACAAATATTTCCGTTGGCTCTGTGCATAAAACGTTACTGCTAAATAAATTATTTCCTTACAAAATATAGCTTTTACAACAGCTTGCTGAAGATGATTATGACAGAAGATTAGAATTTTGCAAATTAATGACACAAAGGGCAAATGAAGACCATAATTTTATTAAAAATATTTGTTTTACTGACGAGGCAGGTTTCTTTTTAAATGGATTTGTCAATAAACATAATTGTAGGTACTGGGACAATACAAATCCACATGTTTTTCGGGAAAAGCACAGCCAATATCCTCAGAAAATCAACGTATGGGCCGGAATTCTTGGTAATAAAATTATTGGGGAATTGTATTTGAACTTATTAGAAAATCTGATAAATCCTCTTATAACCGAATCCTTATAAAACCAAATAGATCAAGATGGAAATTTGTTACTAGACAAAGAAAACCTATTTTTTCAACAGGACGGAGCACCTCCACATTATGCCTTGCCTGTACGAAATTGGCTTAATGAGACATTTCCAGATAAATGGATCGGAAGAAGGGGCGCCATAGAATGGCCAGCGAGATCACCCGACCTAACGCCCCTTGACTTTTTTTATGGGGACATCTAAAAACTGTGGTCTATAAAACTCAACCTCGCCATATTCCTGAACTTAGACGTAGAATAGTAGAGGAGTGTGAGCGGATTACACCAGAGACGCTTCAAAAAGTGCGGGATGAATTCGAGCTGCGACTTTACCATTGCCTTGCCAACAATGGCGGACATTGTAATTCTTACGCAAATAAAATATTAATCATGTAAATACAATGTAAATAATAATTATTTTAATTTAAAAGGTTAAAATGGCATAACTTGGTGAAAAATTAATCCGATTTAAAAAAATAATCTGTCAAAGGATTGGAAAAAAAGAGACCTTTAAGAAGAGCTATCACATGATACCCCTTTCTATTTAAAATTTTAGAAGTGATATTCACCACCGCTTAGGGGATGAAACTGCACGGTTACAGATACTTGTAAAATGTGTCCCCCCGTAAATATAAATTAACGTGTTTTTTTGTTTTAAAGATATTTTAAAAGTTATTTTGGGTGGCTAGTTTTGAAATGAAATCCCTGTATAACAATAGGCTTGTCCGGAATCACAGTCATCTACAGTAAAGTTAAATGTCCATAACTGTCTTTTATAAAATACCAGAGAACTTTGTACAATTGGTGTTGGAAGGCACTGTTGCATATCAAACGTGATAGTTTGTCGACTTGGATCATTATTTGATAAATCTTTGTCATTGACTTTAGATTTATATGCGTAATCTCCTTTAATATGATGTAAGTCTAGGTGTTCTTTCAGTGTTGTTTTGTCCACCTCCAAGTCAATTTCTCTAGCAAGCTTATCGCATGTTTGACAAGTATCTTTGTTAGGCTGTTTAATCTTTATGTCTATATTGTAAAACTCTTTATCGAATATTTTACGAGATACATAAATATGTATAGACAGTATATGAGTCAATTTCATCGTCAGTTTTTCTCTTCGCAAGAGCATAGGTTCCTATCAAATCGTTGTGAACAATGTCTAAAGTATTCAATCGCTTTTTTTTAATTACGTTTTCCATAAACTTGTTTGTTTCTTCGAATGTTTGCAAATTGGGATATTTTTTCCATGTACCTGGAGATGAAAGTAAATAGTAATATCCCTAGTGTGTTGTTTATCAGAATCATTATATCGCTTTCTCGTAGTCTTCTTGTCCTTAATTTCGATTAAGCTGGCAATATAGGATACCTTCCTGTTATAATCATTAATATCCCAATATGCACAAAAAATTTTTTTCTGTCATCTTGTGTTACTTTTTCTGTACACTTTTTCCTTTCAAGGTAATATAAGACTTTCCTATATTTCGTTTAATTTTCCTTTCGGTTCTAGTAGTTCCAGTATCTCCTTTTAATTTACGTTTGTGTCCTCTATTCACTCTTGATCTTTTGTCAACTTCATGTGCACTAGTACTTGGAGAAGGGTGATTTGTTTGGCTACCAGTAGGTTTTCTGGAGAATATTCGTGGCTGTGGATCCGAATCTACAGCACGATTATAAGAGTTATCAGACATCTCAAAATTAGGATCCTTAACACTAGCGTCTGAATCCATATCAAAATCCACATTTATTTTTTCTGCAATAGGGACCGGACCGTGCGTGAAATATAGAAGCAGCACTACTGCCTCTAGTGTTTAATTTTAGAATTAAATGGGGTAAACATTACAAGTAAATAATAAAGCTTATTTTTTAAAGTATTAAATTTAGTTAAATATAGATACCGGCCTGTAACAAACAATAGTGTACATGGTCAAAATGGTATAAAATATGAAAAATTATTAAAATCTGGACATGTATATGTTACGGTCAAAGATGATATTTCGGTCTTTACCGATATTGGCCGGTCATTGTCGTAAATCTCCTATTTGATTGGGCATAATTGATAATAACCGGCCAATAACGTAAACATCCGCTTACATTGGACAATGTTGATAAACTATAAATGACATAGCTTTTTTACGACTCTTCCTGGGCGTTATCGTTAGCGCCCACTTATGTGTGGGCCGCAAACCGCAACGATTTGGATTTGATTGTTAACATCGCTATTTTCTGGCTTTCCGTGCGGGCGATTGATTGGATATTTCTTTCATTATTTGTACATCATAATTCTAACCTAACTTCATTTCAGATGATGGAATGGAAGACTTAAGTATTTTTCTGTAGTATTTTATAAACCTCAGAAGCAAATTTCACATATATGAAAAAAAAAATAATAATAATAATGCCGTGACAACAAGAAGACAAAGCAATGACTTCTTGTAGGGTGGCGACTTCGCCGCTACCAGAAAATTTGAATCCATACCTGGCTACACCGACTGGCATAAACACCAACGGCCTGGACACAGCTCACCTACTCTGTCAAAAGGAGACCAATGTACAAATAAAGCGCGTACATCCGATGTACTGCTAATCACTTTTAAAAGTCACAGTACCAACACTACCAACTTAATTCTTTAAAATCAACTTCATCAACTTATTGATAGTCAAATGTCATTAATGGCCGGACAAAGAGCAAAAAATAATATATTTTCAACATTGTCCACTTATTGATGGTCAATGTCGTTAATGGCTGGACAAATATGCAAACAAAAAATATTATCAACATTGTCCACGATTAATGGGCATTTTCGTTACTGCCCAGATAAAACGATATTGGCCAGCAAATATGGCTGCTGACGTTAGTGTCCGGTCAATATCATCAATGCCCAATATACAATACTGCCCGTAACATATATATATTTTGAGCAAAAAGATTTAAATGGCTAAGTATCAATAAATTGTAAAATTGTACCTCAAGCAAGTGTATCCAATGTCAAAATATCGGCATTTGGTAACACTGAATTTAAAAGTATTACAATAACATTTAAATAATGTAAATTAATAAAAATTGAGAATAATAATTCTTTTTAGCTTTATGTTAGTAGAAATGTCATTCATCCACATATAGGTACATAATTATATAGATTCTCACCCATCTGTATAAAAGATTACGAAAAGAGGGTTGCAATATGCACTGTAATTGCCTTTTTTAGTGCCCACTAAATAGAGCCGTTCTAGCCCAAATGTATTTTAAAATAAAATTTCAGCATTTTAATCCTTTGAAAAAAAAAATAATTAAAGTTTTACTTTATGACACGGTATTATGTATTTTGAAAGTTGAGTTTCCATGTAGTTAAAAAATACTAAGAGACCTAAACAATTTTTAACAGATAGATGTAAATAATTTTAGACCTCTCTCATTTCAGAAATAACACTATATAAAACACATAATTGCAATATATGTAATACAACTTTGATAAGAGTTGTAGTTAGATACTTATCTATTATTCTGAGTAAGGTTTAATGGTAATGTTACTAAAAATTTTTAAAGTTTATTGCAATCTCTTTTAACAGTACATAATTGCAATGTATTAATTACGATTTGTTTAATTTAGTGATAAATGAGAAATATTTAATAAATTGTAAATAGGGCCATGATATTTTTGTCAAATTGGACATTCTATTTTATTATATTAATTATATAAAATGTTTATTTAAATATCTAAAAATCTTAATGACAAGAAAGCACTAAAGATTCTAATTTCTAAACCGGTTCTGTAAATGATTTGTTTACAACTAAGTGCTCAAAATTGATACAAGCTAGATCAAAAGAAAACTATGTCCAGTGAAATACGCTTTTCCTCGTCTGATTTACATATGGATAAGCAATCTATGTAATTATGTATATCATTGGGTGTGATAAAATTTCTTTTTCTACGACCACTTAGGAAGTGACACATATCACACTATATAGTCCTATGAAAAGTGCCCTATATCACACGCGTATGAATAAGAATTTACTTTCCAGCCGTGTGCGAATATGCTACTTTCCACATCAGCTGTCACAAAATGTCAAACGCATCATTTCTATTTTGATCTATGTAATGTCCATATAAAATCGATATGATTGTTAAATTATTGAAATTGTTGTAAATTAGATCCTAACATCCTAACAATTATTATTAAAATAATTTTAAAATAACTAAGTTATGTTTGCTTTTTATTCTGGTTAAACACATAACCGATTAGATAATTCAATTGACGCAAGGCATATTAGCTCAGATAGTAGAGTATCAAACTTTATCAACTTTGCCATTTGAGACCTGGCGAGCGACCGCGTTCAAATCCTTGTGGGGGCAGATTTTTTTTTGATTTTTTTTTTATTCTTTTTTTTGTTTAGAAAATATGAAAATAGAATAAATACGATTATTGTTGATTATTTTTTTAAATACATTTTAATTATTAAAATAATAACCTGATTTTTACATTTTTTTATGAAATTATTTTGAGGTAGTAGGAAAAATATTGTACATCACTTCTGTGAAAAGTGATTTTCCACACTCGTGTGATAGTCGCACTCGGCTTGTGTCTCGTGCGATAATATTTCCCACTCATGTGAAAAATTTCATTTTCCACACTCGTAATGTAATAAACTATTACTATCGAATCAAATCCAGGTTTACAAAGTGATGTGTTTGTACATCCACGGATGCAACAAGCTTTTTCGATAATGATATTACGAATATAATTCGACTTTATTTAATTAATAATTACTAAACAATAAATTCCGTATAAAAAATTAATAAATCTCCCCATAAAGTTCACAGTTTTGTCACCAGTTGGCGTTAAAGTCAAGACGCACGGTCCCTATATGATCCTTTAATGATGATACATCACTGGAATCTAAACAAAACTAATATTACATTGCCTTCATATTATCTAGAGATATATACCTTCATCTTCTTGTTGTTGGATTTTATTTCTAATATTATCAGTTGTTGTTGAGACTGAAGAAGGTTAAACTGGATTGTCGCCTGAAAAAAGTATTTTTTCAAGTTCTGTGAAATAATAATGTAAATAGGTACCGTATCATTATTAGAAACATCTTCCAAATTATTGCATTGTTCGTCGGTGTGCGTCATGATATGAAGAGCTTTAATAGAATCTAAAACAAAATAATTATAGGCATTATGTTTATTTCACTCTAAAACTAACCCTGCAAAAGTACTGTGAATATTAATGCAAATACGGTTATTGTTATTATAGGGTGCATGGTAACAATATTCTACCAACACTTCTGTTATCTCCTTTTATGAGAAGATACTTGAATCAATTGAACAGAGCGAAAGTCCTGGAAGTTTTTGTGATCACAGCAGGTATTTCGAATGTGGTATTAGAAGTATTCAAAATAAATGGTTTAAATCCTATATTGAAGACAGAGTCCAAACAGTTTAATTTAAAATTAATTATCCAATTTTTTCACGGAAACTGATAAACAATGTGGGGGTACCTCAGGAGTCGATGCTAGTTCCCATATCGTTTACTATCTATATAAATAAACTTTTTGAGCTACTTTTTAAGGTATTTACAATAGTATATGAAGATGACTTATTCTTTCTTTTCCCAAATTCATCAAATATTGCAAAGAAAAATAGATATTACACTTAAATCGTTTTCTGAATGGTGCACTATTTAACATTTCTACCACAAAATGCATTATGCTTCCACTCTTACCAGAACACACAGTCACCTACTTTTGATTTCAGTAAAAATAAAATTAAAATAAATAAAGTTAACTCTAAAAATCTTTTAGGAATAACCATACATATCAAAGTCTATTGCGGAAATCTGTCATCTTCATTAAACTTAACTCTCATACATGTTCTAAAATTGGAATCTGCCATAAAAGTCATCTCTTTTACCACGTCTATGATTTTGCTACTCCTAGAAGACATTGTAACCAGGGCTGGTATATCTAAGGGGGTCGCGACATAGGAGTCCATTTTGGACGCCATTTTTTTCGAAATAGTAGTCACATAGTAGTCGCCATTGATCTGGCAACGTGGCAGCTTGTAGTCGGCAGGTTTACCAATATAAGAAAAAAAATCAATGTCATTTTTTAAATGATATTTCCATTATAAAATGCCCATATTTTTTAGGATAAAATATTTCAATTTAATAAATTATTAATCTCAGATGTACATAGAATACGTCGGGAAAAGTAGATCACTTTCAATTTTGTGCTGTTTTGGTTTTATTTATTTTAAAAGGTAATTGAAGAGATGAAGACAATTTTCTTATAGATGATGCATAACAAATTATTGCTCCCTTTTTTAGAGCTCCAGTCCCTTAAGTCTATTTATTTTAGCTCTTTTTAAATTGTTGGTAGGTATTATTCACTTCATTTGTATGTTTTTAGTTAATTTTAATAATTTTGTGTAATATCTTGCGATTTGTTTTCTATACATTTTAGCATGTTTTTGTTGTCTACATCTCACAAAGGATGGCTTTGAAATACCTTAACAACAGAGGTACTTTCCTAAAACTGGGCGAAATTTGAAACTGAATACAGTTCTTAGAGAAAATCTCCAGTAAAAAATGTCTGCATGCAGAATAACAGTAGCATAGATTAACAAAGCTGACAAAAGAGTTGGACAAACCTTTGTCTAGCTTTTTTAATATTTCAGGACAATAG